CAATAGATCTGAAATCTGAGCATTCCGTTTTATTATTGTTTGTTGCTATATTGCTCACGACAGCTACCATCGACGTAGACTGGCAGGCGTTTGCAGGCTACCATAGTCGTTTTTCTTTACCTGGAAGGAGGCCCTTAAAAAGGACTTAACTTTAACGTAACTTTAACTTTAATAATTATGCCACATTACAGCATCTCAAGTTAAAACAATAAATATATGTACATGCAATAACACTATACTATAAGAATGTAAAAATTAATAAAACGTCTATAAGCGATTAAAAATTTCCTCCGAGAGTTCCCAAAATCCATTCATAATACCTCGCCTTTTTTAATCTTCCTTATGTTGGTTTAAAAGTACTTTAAAGTTAGTGACTGTTGAAGCAGTTCTAACTGTTATCGGCAGTCTATTCCAATACACAACTGATCTACATGTAAATAAGTTCTGAAATACAGTTGTATGGTATACCTAGGTAATAGCAATAACTGCCTCCCTGACACGCCAGTCCGTAAACATACTGTCGAATAGGTCCCCTCATGTACGTGTCTCCAATAGAGTTGTTAAATTTTAAATCTCATTTCACAATTCGTTCCATGTAAGACAAATGTTCGAAACCTTTGATTAATTTGGTAAATTTCCGTTGGCAGTTTTCGATTTCCATAATAGTTCTCCAATTTCCGTGTCTCGGATGAGGTGACCAAACCTGGACACCATGCTCAAGATGAGGCCTTATTACGGATTTATAAATTGGTAGCCTGCGAACAGGCTCTCAAGGTTCGCAGGCTAATAAATTGGTGATAGCACGTCAGCGTCACGAGATAGTATGTTCAGCAAAATCCACGACGTCATCTGTTTCGCTTTCCCAATACTTTCTTGGATTTAACTATCCCACAAATACGATTCGGTTAATAAAACGTAAGATATTGAAGCGTTGGGAATTGACATTTGAGAGCGCTGGATATGCCAATTTAGCAAAATTTAGATTGAAAAGTTTTCTGGGTGAAGCCCATCCTTCTAGAATTGTCTGGTATCACAAACCATAGAAATAATTTTCCAACCACGAGTGTACGTATTCTGTCTGACATTTCACTGGAGTACCGTGATGTCTTTTCACCCCACTCTGTATTCCACATTTATTTAATAAAAAAGACGTTTCGGAGTTTACTCCATCATCAGGTTAAAAGATTACAACTTATGAATAAAACTGCGCTAACATATAAATGTTTGTAGGTTAGCATAGTTTCGATTATAAGTTGTAATCTCTTAACCTGATGATACAGTAAACTCCGAAATGTCGTTTTAAAATGAGGCTAAGAGAAAGTTAATTTATTCACTAAATACTCAAGGTAAAGTACATAATTTAAAAGTGCAGTTTTCTGTAAGGTATTGATCCAGTAACTTGAAACTACGAGAGCACTTGATATACAAATACTACAATTGACTCCAACAATCCTTAGTGCCATCTTATCTCATCCCATTAGTCCAATCATGTCTCATGCCATGTCGGAAATATAATGTCCCATATACGGTTTATACTTTGGCAAGCTAGTCAGCAAGAGTACTGATGCACAGATACTGAGAGCACCGCATACCTGTCGTGGACGTCATCCTTTATGAAAGCGCAATAGTTCATTCTTTTACACAATGTAATGATTGCGTTGGTTGTGCCAACAAGCTAGTTTATGAACGGACGTAAACATATTATCTCATATTAATTAAGCTAATATACTGTAGCGTGCGCCTCTTTGGTAGCCACGCGCGGTTATATAGGTTTAGAGCATAGAAATAATAGATATGTATTACTTCTATGGTTTAGAGGCGGTGCCTAATATTATAGAGTTTTAAGTTGCACATGTAAATTGCAGATTTGATTTGAGAGCAGAGTTGAGACTTGAGATTGGATTTCAGATCGTGATTGTTGTAGAACTGTTATGTATTTTGTAACGCAAATTGAAATGAATAAAGAGAAATGAAAACCGATAGATACAGTTCCTTGATTGTAGAACCAGCGTGTGCGAACGTCCCTGATCGCGTCTGTGGGTAAAGTTTGCGAAAATACCAACGTCGTACTTGGCTAAAAAAATCCCAGATGTATCGGACCATAATATTAGACAGATTTAGATCGAGGACGCGGACGTCAAAGACGACGTGAAAATGGCGTGTTGTGCCCATGTATGGATATGCCACGCCATTTTGACGCCATTTTTACGTCGTCTTCGACGTCCGCGTCCTCGATCTAAATCTGTCTATTCACATACCTCCGGCACGTAAGCACGCGAATTAACGCACCCTATTGTGATGAAGGGAGAAGAAGCTTATTCGAGAGGACGCATATGATGGGGGATTAATTAGGGAGGGGGCGTATTAGGGACTAGGGAGGGGGCGTATTAGGGAGGGGGCGTATTAGGGAGGGGGCGTATTAGGGAGGGGGCGTATTAGGGAGGGGGCTTATTTCAGAGGGGTTATTAGAGATAGGAAGCCTTATTTAATAGAGAGGGCTTATTAATTAATGGTGTTGTTAAAGAGAAGGGAATTTAGAGAGGGGAAGGCTTATTGGGGCATAATTAATCTGGGCCGCATTTCAAAAAAGTTGCCATCCACTTCTATAATAGTAAGATGTCTGTCAGTCTGAATGGGGGTTAACTTCAAATTTCCTCTGTGGAGGTGTTGGTGTTTTGTGCAATGATCTATCAGAGAGGAGGCTTATTTGAGAATTAGAATGGGGCTTATTGGAGAGAGAGATTATCAGGAGGGGTCTTAAAAATGGGAGCTTAATGGGGAGGGGTTTATTAGAATGGCAGAAGCATACTATTAGCAAATATGGATTAGTTGAGAGGTTGAGAGCGGGCTTATCACTCAGTCAGATTGCCACACTGGTACAAAATATTTTGTGAATAAAGTGACCAAAACTGGACATGAGAATTTATTGTGGATATGATACTAAAATAAATGTTAAATTAGAACTGACATTTTATTAAGTGAAGTATATTTACTATCATAAAGTGAAGTGATCGCTGCTACTAGATCTCTAGGCTCAATGAAAAATGCACAAATTATAGTCTGTCATTATTAAGATGGAAGAAGAACCACTTCTAGTAATGAATGCAAATAGCATAATTAGCATCGCTATCGCTGATCTAGCACATGTTCTCTTTTGTCAGAGTCAATTTTATACGGGGCAATGCACTGGGTCAGAGATTGTCACAGGGGGTAGGGGGAGTCAATATGGCCACTTAACGTATTACCATAAACTCTCTATTACATAAGCCTTTGCCTTTCAAATTATTTATTAAATGATGGACCCCTTCGAAGAATGTATACGGCCATCCAGAATTTTGATGTCAAAATTTGGTCATTTATCTCGACTGTAATGCTACAATTAAATGATGAGAGATAGTAGATACACAATATATGTAATGATGGTGGTGTTCATAGTAAAGTAAGGAACAATTTGTGGTTATACCACAATTTTGGTCATGGCATATATGCAATGTTACACATGCATCAGCCAGGGCAATGTGCCAGATATATTCGGCGTGCAAGAAGGATAAATTATGTGTTTTATGCCAGTTTGGTACACACGTGCCAAACTGATTTCTACAAGAAACAATAGGTTCTGTTGTATTTATATCCATCTTAGGGGCCTGAGGTCCATATCCATGTTGCCACAAGTAACGTCGAATCGACATTATGAGTGCAAAAAAGTCTATAGGCCTGGCCTATAGGCCAACCTATAGGTTCCTATAGGAAACCTATAGGTTTTTATAGGCAATTGGAACATTTTCTATAGGTGACCTATAGGGATGCCTATAAGCCTATAGAGCTCTATAGATGCCTAAAGGCTTCTATAGGGAATTGGAACATTTCCTATAGGCCACCTATAGACTTTTTTCGTAAGGGCATGGGTGGGGTTTTATGTGAACTTGTCGAAGTTATCTTGTGGCAATTTGACAATTAATGTCCAAAGTAACAATCCCAGTATCCAAATATCGTATATTGTTTAATTACTGTATCAAAATACAATCCCAGCCAATGATGGTAGACGGTCAAAATACGACTGAATATCGATCGACGTTATCTGAAAATTTGTGGTGGGTGAAATAATGTCGATTCGATGTTATTTGTGGCAACATGAATATGGACGTGGCTCCTTCGCATAAATATATTTGGTGCTTAAAAAACAAACATTCCACTATGTCCATGGTCAACATTGGTAGTCCATGCCTCCATGCATGGTCATTGTGTGCGACTCACTCTGGAAAGTGTGTATTACACAAACAAGATACAAACAAGATACAAACAAGAGTGTGCAGCGTCGATGCTTTCGATATATTTACTACAAAATTGTTGATACCTCGGGTGTCGCCAGACTGCCTACACAAGTATTACAACCACGACAAGTTTTTTCCCCGCCTTGCAATTATTTACCCGAATGCGTGCAAATGCGCAAACAAACTAAAATAATACTTACTTTTTTTAATTGGTCACTATTTAATATTTCCATTCTTTTTCAGGCAATGATACTATACTATTAAGACTTTTATAAAGATTTTGTTATAATAATTATTAACAATGAACGCATTAAGAAATTAAAAAGTGGCAAATTTGCAACATTCTGTTTTGTACATGATGAAGTACTTCCCACATGTGGCACATTTCAGTGGTTCTGTGGTATTTCCTTAAAATTTCCTTCTTTTCCTCGAATTCTTTTGATATAGTTTTTCTTGTTCATACTGCAAGTACATATAAGAATATAAAAAATTACATTATATTTTCGATAACATTAATATATGACATTATACACAACATGGGTGCTAATTGTTCTGGATTTGTTCAGAAAAATATATTTTCATAAGGAAATTTTCAAAATTCATTTTTTATTCCACGATCGATTTGATCATGGGTGAAACTTCATGTAAGCAGGAAGCACAGTACAATTCAAGTGTTGGGAAGTTGCATCAAGTGGTTTTACTGCATTAACCTGTAAAAGTCGAACAAGAATGCTTTGTCGAGCTACCAAAACAGTTTCAGCAGTGTCTCGACGAGCACTAGCGGCAGCTGTGTTAACAGTGCCTACAAGAGCTGAACATACATTACCTGGCCTTGATTATGACTATGGTGCATTGGAACCACATATATCTGCTGAAATCATGCAAATTCATCATTCTAAACATCATGCTACTTATGTGAATAATCTTAACATTGCTGAGGAGAAATATGCTGAAGCACAAGCTAAGGGTACAGCTAGACTGCAGTTTAACTTCTGTGGTTTAGCAAACACCAGTGTGTTCCAGACAGTAAGTAGTCTGCAGACTGTGGGCTTGCCTATGTTAAAAAAAGAAATAATAATGGTTAGGATTACCACCAAAACATGTACCTTAGCCTTACAAGCAGCTGCATTTACCAGCTGGACAGCGACACACTGGTGTCTCCTAAACTGCAGTTGTACCATTTAGTCAATTGTCTTCTTTAATGTTCAGTTGCAATATGGTACTTGATTTGTCAGGGGTGTTGGCTGATCCAAATTCTAGGTCTAAGACAAAATGCTATTAACCTTTTTTAGGCCTTGCTAAATTTCTAGGTAACCTTATATTTTTCGATTGTGCTGAGCCATTTCCCCAGAACACTGTGACATCATAGCTCAATATTGGTTGCATGATGGTTACACCCTACTTGCATGGTCACTCAATCACTAGTGGATACATGTTCAGTACCCCTCCTCCCACCTAGTCATGTAAGACAAATCCAGATAAAACCAAATGTTAAATCCAGTTGCAGCACTGATGCTATAATTGCCAAGTAATAGAATTCTTGAGTTTCAGCATGTGATGTTTTTATAGCATAAGGGACTGCTCATTATTTATTGTACAGGGGGAGACTGAGGAGAAACTCTACAGTTATAATATTTTTTCATTGCCCCCCTCTTAAGACAAGTAAAATTTTCAAAGCCCCCCCCCAGGCAAAACAAGAACATAAATTTTGGTTCCCCCCTCTAGCTTTTTATCTTTATTTAGAGAAACAAAAACTCTCTAGCTCTTTATTTAGAGAAACAAAATAGATAATGGGGACCAATAGACAATTCCCATTATAGACTAATTTTTTATAAAAAAAGTATATTCCCGGGAAGGGTATACTAAAACTAAAAAAAGGTAGAGGTGCACACCTCCCCTGAGATCGTTTTGCACCTCCCCTGAGAATTTTTGCACCTCCTAAAGGTCATGCACCTCCCCTTGGGAAAGTTTCAATGATGGAACAAAGTGAAAATGTGATGGTTGCTTAGGATCTACACTTCGTGACGTAAGAAAGTTTTCTCTGTAAAATTGAAACAGTGATAGCCATGTCAAGCACCCTTTTAATGCAATGTTTTGAAAGAAACAGTGTATAGCAATTGTAATGAAGGGCAAGATTGGAGTCATACATTCATAATTCATTAATACACTGGTACATGTTATGTACACTACATGCATACCTCACCTCGTTGATATTGGCCTGTTCTACAATAAGCCCTAACTTTCCATGGGAGTTGTGAGCTAGACCGCTGCACCTCTCCTAAAATTTTTGTCCACCTCCCCCACTATTTTTCACCAAAATCCGGCCTTGATTTGCATCTCTTTGCCTAGTTCTAAAATTAGTCTATAATGGGAATTGTCTATTTACATGAACATGAGAGACTTTTTATTTGACTTCCATTTATGAATATTAAAGTCTATAAATATTGTTATTTGTTGTTAAGTTGTTTTGTGATACATTTTAAAAACTACTGTTTTTTCAAACTGGTAAATATTTTCAAAGCCCCCCTTCTTTCGTCTCTCTGTATTTTTTCAAAGCCCCCCCTTTCAGGTTTTGAAAAATTTGAAGGCCCCCCCCAGTTTCTCCTCAATCCCCCCCTGTACAATAAATAATGAGCGGTCCCTTACTACAGTATATCAAACGGGAGTTATCATATTGAGAAAATATAAACATATAGTTTCATTCACATGCAGTCTTCTACTTGTTAGCAAATATAAGCATGTACATGTAAATATATAATTGAAGTATCTAAAAAATGTAGTTTAAATTTCTTGCTTCCATGCACAAGACATAAGTACTGTATCAACTGATCTGTACGTAATTTACCATGCACTATCTGATCTGTAATTTACCATTATCTGTTGCTCCATTTATATGATATGATGTTTATTGATCTCATCGATACGCTATTGTAAAGATAATTCGGCCAGCAAGAAAATTTGCTGTAGAAAACGTAGATTTTTACGACATGTTCATATGACCCTGGTTACTGAAAGGTGTCGTCAATTGGAGTTATTCGATGTATGAATATAAGTCCGTAAAACAAGTATTGGGATATGACACGAAACAACTAAAATGTGTTGAAAGCAACTAAAATGTTGTTGATAAGATCTGTACATTATGTAGTTCATCATCATGAAGTAAGCAACTCTGCTAAGTCAACAACAATGACCTTTTTTATCAAATCAAAAGTATAGGTAAGACATGGTCATCAGTTCACTGCTCAGGCATTAAAGTAATCCGTATGTCGCCCCTTAATAAACGTCCTGCAGTGCCTTTTCGGAAAAAAGGCACTGGCTGCTGATTTTACTCGACAATTTTACATTTAAAAACTGTGTACTTACTATCAAAGCAGCAAAGTTGGTCATGTGATCACAAGCACATTCAATTGTGTTGTTGTACATCCTCTGCCGTGTGCACCCCTTGTTGGACCAATCTCCTGCCCCACCTGGAAAACATAAAAAGTTAAAGTATTCCTACATGTAATGTAATTCAACAATTCAATGCATTTATTGTTCAACAATGGTACAAACCTGCTGCATCGAAGTCCCAGTAAACACACGACGACGACGCTTTAACAGCCTAAAATGAAATATATTGTGTATAAAATACACTGCATAAGACAATACAACACGAGTAAGAAAAACTGATGCGCGACTAGCAGCTTCTTGAAAGAAAACATACCGTGGAATGAGGTTTAACCTAGACTTTAGGAGAGAAATCTTTGACTGGCACTCAGGTGTTTTTCGAAAAAGGACTTATTATTTGGATTAACACTTATTTATTTATTTATTAAGCTTTCAATGTTATATAGCTAGGGTGAACACCAAACGTGATTGACTGATTTGTGATCACGTGGCTTTAGATAAATGCAATATATCCCGCCGGGCAATACTAGAGGGGGCATCGAGGGTGAAATTTGGGAACGCAGCTAATGAGGAGGGGGGACGGGGGCGGAATTCAAGTCCCGGATGAACACCACACAATTCATGGGTTACACTTGACACCAGAAAAATGTAAAACAAGAGTCACAAAACTGGTTGTTTTATATGTTTTGCATGTCATTACTACAAATATTCACCAAAAAGTTTGAATCCAAGCGATTAATTCCTCTTGAAAAGATCACAATTGCTGACATCAGCATTATTTTGACAAAATTGAAACAATGCTTGGTAAAAATCAAAACGGGACTACTTAACTATACCATAAACATGAATTTAAAGATTTTAGCTCAAATTCGCTCTTATTTTAGCATTTTAATCCCCCCCCTCCCTCCCATAGCCGCGTTTCCTTTCTTTGACTGAGTTAAGATTACGATACCCCTTCTAGTGTTATTTATAATCTCTATGTACGTATATAAATAAACAAAATGGCGGTACAACTCGCAAGTTTATAAACTACCATTTTCCAAATTTGTACCTTTCCAATTTTCCAGGAATGAAAACGAAGTCGCAAGGAGTGAAAGGAACATGCAAGGACCTCACTAACACCTCCACATGCACAGTATATTACTGCTGGTGTCCTGGTCAACACACTTTCCTACTAACACCTCCACATGTACTGTATATTACTGCTGGTGTCCTGGTCAACACACTTTCCTCCTCACTAACACCTCCACATGCACTGTATATTACTGCTGGTGTCCTGGTCAACACACTTTCCTCCCCACTAACACCTCCACATGCACTGTATATTACTGCTGGTGTCCTGGTCAACACACTTTCCTCCTCACTAACACCTCCACATGCACTGTATATTACTGCTGGTGTCCTGGTCAACACACTTTCCTCCTCACTAACACCTCCACATGCACTGTATATTACTGCTGGTGTCCTGGTCAACACACTTTCCTCCTCACTAACACCTCCACATGCACTGTATATTACTGCTGGTGTCCTGGTCAACACACTTTCCTCCCCACTAACACCTCCACATGCACTGTATATTACTGCTGGTGTCCTGGTCAACACACTTTCCTCCTCACTAACACCTCCACATGCACTGTATATTACTGCTGGTGTCCTGGTCAACACACTTTCCTCCTCACTAACACCTCCACATGCACTGTATATTACTGCTGGTGTCCTGCTCAACACACTTTCCTCCTCACTAACACCTCCACATGCACTGTATATTACTGCTGGTGTCCTGCTCAACACACTTTCCTTTCAAGCTGGGAGACCCGGGTTCAATCCTTGGTCGGAAGGTCTTAAAGGTGACATGACACGAAATTTTTTATTGTCCCATCTGAAAGAATAGTGAATACTGTAAAGTAACTTCTTTTACACATTTTCGTTTACATTCTTCCTTGGTGAGAGAATTCAGTTTTGTTCACATGCATTGCAAACAAATTTACGTCACAGTTTGCATAATGAGCTACAGTACCAAATATTTGATAATTTATGTATTTTTATCCAACATCGTCATTTGCAAAACTGCATATGCTTTACATTGTCCTCAGTATAATGCATATATGGATTTTCAAACGATTTAATCACTTATATACGCGATAACTTGACATTTAACGATAACTCTTTATGCAAAGTGCGACGTAAATTTGTTTGCACTGCATATCAAGAAAACTGAATATCCCACCAAGGAAGCACGTAAACAAAAATGTGCAAAAGAAGTTGCTTTACAGTTTTGACGATTCTTTCAGATGGGCCAATAAAAAATTTCGTGTCAGGTCACCTTTAAATTTAAAAGAGAGGAGAAAGAGCTAATGCCTGTACATTGACATCAGTGCAGTGCATGGTTAGACTTAAGGGCGTTAAATTGTACTGTAGGTACTTCGGATATTTATCAATTGGGCTATTGCCTGTTGGGAAATCCGCTCACCAATGAGCGAGAAACTCAATAAACTTAATATTCCATACCTTTGAGTCAGCCACATGGAACTTTATAATAACTTTCTCAGATAAATTTCTCACAGACTGCCCAGGTATACCACTTGACATAACCGCCGTACTCTCCTCATAAACGTTCTCTGTAAATCCATCATCCGTACAGATTTGTTTAATTAACCGTTTACGTTTAAACAATTTACCATTCTTGTAATAAATAAAATACATTGTTTTATTCTTCGCCTTATCCAAGACTTCTTTGGGGATAAGAATGGTTGAATCGTTGTTAAATGTTTGTTGCAGGACTCCACTGCGTGTATCCAATTTTGTCAAAATTTTAATCTTAATGTTCCTTGTGTTTTTGG